TACTATGAAGCAGTGCTGTTGTAAAAGATGTGGTTTTCTATTATCTTGATAAAATATGTAAGGCCTTCCCTGAAAAACATGTCATCTAGATTGGAGCATAAGACCTGTATTTACCTTTAACCACTGATGATGCTTTTTCCAAGATGTGCAAGATGCCAATTCTATAGGCACTAATGTAGCCCTGTACAATCAGAGATAACAAGATGGTCCAGAACACGGTGTCCATTTTTTCTTAAAATGACTTAGACCCAGTCATGTACTGTCCTATTGCCAGTTAATTGCCAGTTAATGTTAAATGCAAAGTGTTCCTCCAGTTGTTTCTTTTTAGTAATACTTACTTTTCCAGGATTACCTTTCAAATTCAAAATGTGCTAATATTTTTCATAAAATGGTAAGGGCTTAAAAATAAATAATGTTTTTTGTAGTGGTTGTCTGTCTTTTTGTGTTAGCCCTTTGACAAACTGGCAACCTGTCCGGGGTGTACCCTGCCTCGAGCCCTATGGTAGTTGGGACAGGCTCCAGCCACCCAGTGAGCATTAGTTACATAAGCAGAGGATGGATGGAATCTTTCTTTTGTTCAATAATAAATAAAATATGTGTTTTATGTAATTTGCAAATCATTATCTATTGTATCAATATTACAAATGATTTAACACATTCACTCATGAAGCCAAGCAACTATATCAAAAGTTTAATACTGGCTAAACACCTGTATAAATATACTTAAGTCAAACAGTGTAAGTTTTTCCAGCCTGCAAACCTTTTTTTTTCCCCAGCATGTCATTATATGAGTTTTTGGAAGGTGTGTGCTATTGATATGTACAGTTAAACTATTATGAGATGGCCAGTGTCTGGCTGTCCAGTATGGTAGTCACTGATTATTTTTATACAGTGGACACTCGAGATGGTCCCTTAATCATACATAAATTTAAATATTCATTTCTGTATGTAAACATACGGTTGATTCTGTTCATCTGGACATTTAGGATTTTCTTACCTGGATGATTGAGCATGCATCAAAACATGAATCTACAATTTATCTTTTATTTATATAAATAAAAGACTGGATAATTTACCTTGACACAAGGATATCAGACCAAGGACAATACAAGTGTACAAAACACTGAAGACATCAAAGCAAGGATTAAGCATCCTACAGGTCTGGAAAAAAAAAAAAGAATACAGACAGACACTTAATACTTATTATTTATTATAATTTTCTTCTATGCTATGGATAAACTACTTAAACTGTATTCCTGTTCCCACTAACTGTAATGATATCATAAGGACAAATCAGGTGACGTCACTGTTTTACATTAAGAAGTGAACAACATGGTCCGGTCCGAATAAAGACGTATAACAGGGTGGATCCATCAAATCTTTTAACCCAATTATGCAATAG